TGTTGCAGCCCCACTGGGGAGGAGTTGGGGAAAGCGGGGAACTTTGGAATACTGGGAGTTAGGGAGACATGACAGGACCGCTACCTATATTAAATTTGTCATGGGAAAGATTCCCACAGTAAAGGAGTTGCTGTTCAAAATAAGCATTTTTTTTTTGTTATGGCCCTCGCCATTTTTGTGATGCATCAGACATTTTTATAGTGTGACAAAGTGTAAATGTGTTGGCATGCATTTTTTGTCCTGCTAAAACAGCATATGTAGTGTGATAAATGTAATGTGCATTTAGGGCCTAATTTGGTAGTAATTGCTTTTTAAGTGTGAGAGAGAACTTGTGTTGAATAATAATAGAAAGAGAGTGAACATTATTAAAAGAAAAAGATGATGCTGTTACAGTTTATTTAGCCTGTGTTATGAAAGAGTTTATTAAAGAGCGCCACATGTCCTAAAGGCATGTTGATTTAAAAAAAATTATTTATGATCAGGATTAAGAACCAAGTTTGAAGTTTTGCTTTTTGCCAAAAAAGTACACATCTGATAAATTGATTTTGTAATATGTTTCATGAACATTTGAAGTTAAGTGCTTTGATTTTAAGGGGAATTTAACTGTTTCTCTGCAGTGCTTGCAGGCCAAGTACTGAAGTATTGCAGTAGACTGAGAACTACAAAATATATCTGGCTATAAATGAAAGTGAGTTTAGTGTATTTTTATTAAGCAGAGTTCAATAGAAAAAAAAAAGCAAAAGCCATGGAACTAGCTTTTTTGATAAACTATTTGCACTAAGAGATGTAGGTGTGCCACGGTCGGAGGTTTGATTATCCTACAGGACACAAGATCTTTCCTGCTTCAGGCAGGGAATTGGACTAGATGGCCTCTTGAGGTCCCTTTGAGTCCTTACTTTTCTATGATTTCTACATGTTCAGTTTTTTTGTCATGAAGTCAATGGGACTTAAGCACGTGCTTAAGCTAACCTGTCTGCTTAGGTGCTTTCCTGAACCTGAGAGATGTACAGGGTCTTCATAAAGACCTTGTGCACTTTTAAACTTGAATAACTTAAGTTGTAGGTATGATAGAAACAATCTGTAAACGGTATTTAAAAGAAAATTTATTAAAGTTTTAGGACAGCTAGAGTACACAATGCTAGACTTTTGTAAGTAATAATGTATTTATTCTTAAATAAGATGGAGCTCCATGCCACTACACTCTGAATGTACGACAGTTCCTAAATTACGTTTTCCCAGAGAAGTGGATAGGCAGAGGTGGAGCAATTGCTTGGCCACCTTGTTCACCTGACCTGTCACTGTTGGAATTATTTTTATGGGGACATGTTAAAAGTGTAGTTTACTTGTCAAAACCATGTTCTTTGGTGGAACTTAAGGCTAGGATCATCAATGCAATTAGTGCAGTAACTCAAGAGCAACTGGGAAACGTTTTCAAGGAGTTGGAAGATTGGATTGAGGACCATATCATGATGGATGGTGGTTATGTTGAAGTCTAGCATTGTGTATTCTAGTTGTCTTAAAACTTCAACACATTTGCTTGTAAATGCCATTTGCAGATTGTTTCTATCATACCTACAACCTAAGTTATTAAAGTTTAAAAGTGCACAAGGACTTAATGAATACTCTGTATAAATGTTTTACTCAAAGAAAGCTTGAATGCGTGCTCTAGTTTCTGTGAGCTGTCTGGCAAGTGTTGAATGTTGTGTTTAACTTAATTAATATTTACGAATTTCTGCCAGTCTTTCTTTGAAAATATTGGTTCTAAGTTAGTTTTCTAGGTTATTTGTAGGGATGTAGAAATAAAGACAGCAAGTTTTCACTGCCAGGTCTATCTGCTGATAGAGGTTTTTACACTTACATTTTTGTTCACTGCCTCTAACATCTGTTTTTATCAAATAGTATTTAAATGAACATTTAGTTTTTCTCTGTTGTTTCATGTGATTCTCTGGTGGTTGAGATCTGCTGAGAAGGGCCCACAGGAAGTAAGCTTAGGAGTTCTTTGCAGACTAGTGTGAAAAGTCCCAAGCTGTAATAACCTGAATTAATAGACTTTCAGGGCATGTTTTCAAGTTTTGGTCTTAGTTTTTTCCATCATGCAGTTTGTGCAGGTGAAGCTTACAGTGCACTGAAAGGGTAACATAGTCCACATACCTCAAGAATTACAGAAATGTTTTAAAAATAAAACTTAAGAGAAAATGTACACATGTCCCTTGTTCTCCATGTCCGCAATAGAAGCAGTGATGGAAATAGGTAGAAGTGCACCAATACATTGGTCTGATATTGGATCAGCATTGATGCAAAGAAAATTGACTGTATTGGAAATCAGTCTGACATGACTGGTAATTTGGCCGATAAATGCCTGTGCGTGCAGCTGCAGTGCAGCATGCAGGCAGCAGGGAGCACAGCTCGGCAGCTTAGAAAGCTGTGTGTAGCTGGTAACACTGGTGGTGCAAGCGAAGCGGGGGGGAAGGGTTGTGGGGGGGGCGCAGATTAACGCCCCCTGCAGTGAGGGAGGGAGCGAGACAGGAGCTGGTGCAGGTGCTGCCCGGGCGGGGCGGGGCGGGGCAGAGCTGCTGCTTGTCTGAGGGCATGAGGGGGGCGTGTGCCCCCAGGTCTGCGTGGGGTGAGGCACGCAGGCTGCAGCTGGGGCTGTGCCGGGCTCTTCTTGGTGGGGGTTAGGCTCAGGGTGGGTGGCAGTGGCGGTGTTGGGAGGGGGGCTGTGAGGGGAGGGGGGCTGCAGCCACCCCAAATTGCGCCATAGCCTCCCCCTCCCAGCACCGCTGCTGCCTTTCCAGAGTGTAGCCCTGGCTCAAGGCCCTGCCTGCACCCATGCACCAGGAAGAGCCAGGGCTGCACCAGGCGGGTGGTGACAGCAGAGAGAGAGGGGGGTGGGGGGGCCTATGGCGAAATTTGGGTTGGCTGCAAACCTTCCCCTGTAGCCCCACTCCCAATGTTGTTGTCTCCCGCCCTGAGCCTAGACCCCGCTGAGAAGGGCTTGGACCAGCCCCAGCTCCAGTTTGCAGCTGCAGCTCGCCTGCCCTGCCCCATAAAGACCTGGATGCACACGTCTCCCCCCCTGCCCTCCCGTTGAGCCGCAGTTCTGTCCCACACGCCGCCCCACCCAGGCTAGACAGCGCTTTCCCCAGCCCCTGCCCCACTTCCTCTCCCATCCCCTTCCACAACAGATTTACCAGCTGTACACAGCTGTATCGGAAATTGGATCGGTATTGATCGATATGCCTCCTTAAAAATCAGCTATCAGTATCGTCCCCCCAAATCTCTATCAGTGCACTCCTAGAAACAGGGATGTAAATATCAGTTTTAAATGATCTGTTTAACGTCCTTTAATTATATTGGTTAAATGGTCCTGACGCAGGGGTGCAAAGTCCCAGGCCAGCGCCTTCCCTGCCTCGATGTAGGGGTGGGGCTGCAGCTGCCTGCCTGGAGCAACACAGGGAGCCCAGGGCTGCTCACAGACCTGTTTGCACACAGCTGCTGCTGGGAGCTGCTCCCTGGGGCCACCCCCTGTGGCCCCTTTTTAACTTCATAATCTATAGGTAATAGTTCTCCCTCCTCCTTCCTCCTCCATTCTTCCCTCCTACCTGCACTGACACTTCCTGTTCCTGAGGCACTGCACCACAGGGAACAGTGTTCAAGGAGTGGGAGGGGTGGGCAAGGCTGGGATCCTGGGGCCTGGTCACAGGCCTGGATCCAGAGGCCTGATCCCTACATGCCTCTGCTCTCTGGGGTTGTGGAGGTGGGGAGGGGTGTGTGGGGGGAGCATGTGCACGTGTGTCTAAGTAAAGGGGGCTGCCATGGGTGAGGGAAGGTACGGGAGGGTGCTTGCCTGGGTGGTGATGTCCGCGCTGATCTCGTGGTGCTCCGCATGGGGCTGAGCCCAGTGCACTCATGCTGGGGCAGCTTGCATTGTGCACTTGCTGGTGTCTGCAGCCCTGCTGGGTGTTACTCTGCTCCCCCTGCCTCCAGTGGCAACTGCTGCTCCTGTTCTTCTCCCTGCCACACTGTGCTGGGTGGGTGAGCAGCTCCTGCCCCAGCACATGGTGCTCTTGCTCCAGCTCCTGGGATGGCAGCTGAGAGCTGAAGCCAGAGTCCTGCATGCTAGGGCAGTGGTTGAAGCTGCCTGCCCTCCCAGAACATCGCAGTGTGGCAGGAACAGCTTCAGGAGGAGGGG